CCAAAGAAAAATCTCAAAACTACGCAACAGTATAATATTGAAAATAGAAGTAAAAATAAAAACCAAATCGAGAGTGAATAGATATAAAAATCCTAAACATACTGAAGAATTTAATTTTCAACCATCATGATGCCAAGTAGCTTCAGAAAAATCGAAGACAATGCAAAGCTTCACTGGACTTCCTTGCACAAAATTCCTAAATAAACAAATGAAACTACCCAAATCATCATTGAAATTGTAGAAACTGATTTTCCCTTGTACATTCATATGATCATTATACTACATATATGTGTGTGTGTGTGTGTGTGTATAGAAGTCTGCAAAGAACAATGTACAGTTACAATAAGCCACTATCATAAACATAAATATGAAGCTAGCCTAATAACCATTTCCTATCATTAATTGAAATACTATTGTAACTCCTTAATACTCCCCCGCAAATCGAGCACACATAGCATAGCAAGATTTGAATAAAGAAACTGCATATGCATAGTGATGGAGATGGTGATAACAGTCGGTTGTAGTAGCTAGTCCATTAAGCGGAACCAAAAAAGAAGAACTCCGATCTCTAGAGTTGCATCAGCAGCATGAAAGAAACAAAGTAAACATAACGCCCATTGAAAGGCAGGAAGTGAAGGAGTGCATGGGCTCATGGAAGGAAGGAATAAAATGACGGGCTGACATACAAGTCAAATGGACCTAGGAAACAACTCTAGGCACTTGAGAAACATAACTCTACCTAGGAATCACCCTCTGATGTCCGAAAACAAACAAGAACTGTTGCAGAAGCCTTCATTAAACATGAAGAGAGGTTCGTGTATGATGCAAAGAAGGAACGAAAGTGGAGAGCTGCCTTGAAAAATGTTGGAATTTACAGGAGGTGAAGGGTTTAGGACAATAGGACAATAGTTGAACAAAATGATTTTATTAGATTGGAGGAGAATAGTACATAGCTTGGTGTAGGCTAATTGGCCTCCTTAGTATTTTGGCTTATTGGCCACCACACTTGGTTTAAATTAGTTTGAGCTATTTGGCCCTTACACTTTGATAAACTTATTGACTCCTCAACATAGTTTAATTTGGGTAGCTCTTGGCTTCCTAATAGTTTGGGAGTTCTTTTTGTTGGACTCCCCATATGACTTGGGTTGGGTAGCTTTTTTGCTCCACGTTGTATGACCACATGTATCCACCGCCATACCTTGGTCCACCGACTTAGGAAGACTAACCCCAGCCACATATGTTTGGCTTTCTCTAGATAGTTCTCCAACGTTGCACGTAGCTGCCGACTTCCCATCAAGCTTATGGTACTTTCTTCAAGCTTCTAGATTTTTCTATATTTTTTAGCACAAATGTGCATTAAATTCAACAAAAAAAGTAGCAAATCTCTCTGGGTGGAATTCAAAGGACTGGTACGTTACTCTTTCTTTTTTCTATTCAAAGGACTGGTATCTCTTCTGATATATATATGTATGTATGTATATGTATGAGGAACAGCAATAGAATAAAAATATTTAAACGGCTTTTTGGGAATCATCAATATGAATATTAGAAAGTGTGGCTGGAAATCATGTGAGTGGTTTGGTTTTGGGAGTAGAGTTCTCATTACAACCAGAAATGAGCATTTGTTGATCAAACATGGAGTGGACAGAAGATTTCAGGTAAAGGGACTAAAAAGTGAAGATGCTCTTCAACTGTTTAGTTGGAAAGTTTTTAAAAAGGATTACCCTGAAAAGTATTATCTTATTTTGTCTAATCGCATTGTGAGTTATGTCAAAGGTCTTCCATTAGCTCTTGAGGTTTTGGGATCGCTCTAATTGCATGGAAGAGGTTTAAGTGAATGGAACAGTACGTTGGGAAAACTTGGAGTGTGCAACTTGGAAATTTTTGAGGCATTAAAAATTAGTTATGATGGTCTAGATGATAATTGTGTGTACAAATTTCCCCACGAGAATATTCGGTTGCAAAGATTCCTCTTCCTAAAATAGAACAAATGAGAGGGCCACACCCGGGGGGTGTTGGCCAAAGGCCCTCCGATGCCTAAATCAGTTCAATTGAATTGTATAGAAATCAATAGCTAATAGGGTACGGAGATGTGTTTATGGTGTAAACCGGGCGGCCGGAGCCTTATGTAAAAGAGAGAGAGAAAGGAGGTGGCTAGGGTTTGAGAGGAATTTTCTGCAGAGTTTCAGTAGGGATTTCAGAC